TGTGTGTGTGTGTGTGTGTGTGTGTGTACGAGGGGCATACCAAAAGTTTTTTCCTGACCTTGAAATGAAGGAATAAAGGGAGAAAGCTGAAATTTTGTACTGGCTTTAATCTTTCTCTATGTAGTCGCCTCCAACAGTTATACATGTACACGTTTTACCATCGGTGCATAACCCTGGAAAGACCTTGAGAATAGAAGACCCTCTCTTTGCCAGAAAACCAGCCCCCTACCGTTTCTTTGACCCCATCATCACTTTCAAATTGCCATCCTGTTAAATCCTTTTTCAGTTTTTGGAATAGAAAAAAGTCGGACGGGGCAAAATATGGTGAATAAGGTGGATGTGCAAAATTCCACAGCCACTTTCTCGCGCAGTTTCTGGAGCTTTTCTTGAATTCGGATCTTTTCTCTGCGTTAAAAAAAAATTTATAGCCTCTCGTTATTTTTAAAACTGGTTAGAATAATGATCTCCTGTGATTGTACATATATTTCTTCAAGATAGTCTGTCATAATCACTCCTTCTTGGCCCCCCCAAAAAACTGATAGCATCACTTTTCCACTTGATGGCTGCACCTTTGCCTTCTGTGGTGTTGGAGACGAGGGCCATTCCCTCTGCATTGATGCAGATTTTGGCTCTGGATCGTTATGGTAGACCCATGTCAGCTACGGATCGTAGTGGTGGACCCATGTCTCATCCATTGTTACAAGTCTTTCAGAAAATTTAGTTTAATCCTTTTCATACAGATCAAACAATTCTTGACAACAAGCCACACGTTACACTTTTTGAGGAGGAGCCAACAAACGAGGGACCCATTTCGCAGAAACCGTGATCATATTCAAATGTTCATTTAAGATTCGTTCAACGGATCCAATGCTAAATCTGAGCCTAGTTTCTTTGTTCAAACGTTCGTCTGTCACCCGCCTATCAGACAACACAAGTTTCTTGATTCTCAACACTTTCTCTTCTATTGTTGCTGTCACTGGGCGACCACCAGGGGGTCATATTCAAGGTCTATGAATCTGCATTTGAATTTTTTACACCAACATTTTATCACAGCATAGGATTGGCAATCGGTTCCATATACGGCATGCATCTCCGTAAAACTATCCTGTAGTTGCTTGCCTTGCAAGAACAAAAACTTAATTACTGCCCTGTGCTATATTTTCTCCATTGTTATGTTGAAACTGTAGAACAACATACCCCCATTCACTTACAGTGCGCTGGTGTTAATACCAATAATCCGAAATTCCCCAAAATTCTCATGTATTCTCGAATGATGATTGTTGGCTTTCACCCCAAATTTCAGCTGTCTACCTTTATTCCTTCACGGTCAAGTTAAAAAACTTTTGGTATTTGGTATGCCCCTCGTATTCTGTTTGTTTGTTTGTTTGTTTGTGTGTGTGTGTGTGTGTGTGTGTGTGTGTGTGTGTGTGTGTGTGTGTGT